TTTTTTCTATCGCCAAGAAGATGAGAAAGCCGAAAGCTCTCCTGTAAAGGACAAGGAAAACGAAGAAGCTGATGCTTCCTTGGATGATACTCATCACCATGGCAACCCATTGTTTCAGTCCAGCCCAGCAGAAGCCCCTTGGAAAACAGTAGAGAAAAAAAGTCAAGAGACTAAAGCACGAAATTTTGGTGAGGGGCCTTTGCCAAGAAACCCTTTTTTCATCCTTTGTTGCTACACTTAATATCGATTGAACCCTCTAAATAATCATTTAGTTTGCACACTGTGTTATACTCATACCCTGCACAGTTTGTACACGAGATTGAAACGGAGTGCATTGAGTGGGAGAAATTTATATTAGATTGAGCTTATCAGTGCACGAAGTTCAAACGTGCTCTGTAATACTGAGAGTATCCGATACGATCAATGTATGAAACTAAAATTTGTCCAATGCTAATATAAATTTCAGTTAACGCATTACTTGCACTGAATTACTTCCGATTTGAAGATTATACTGTGAACTGGACCATGAGAAGCAATCAACATGCACTGCGCGTTTACTGTGAGAAAATGGAAAGTCTAACCTGACGTGTTGTTCTCTTCCGCAGCTTTATATCCAATCAACCCATGCAAATAGAACAAATCTCTGTCGTTGTGAACTTTCACTCTGACATAATATAAAGACGGAGCTTAAAAAACATTGAATGTCCTTATAGGCAAATATCACAGCAAAGCAGTTCAAAAGACAATCCTCGAAAGAAGAGTCCATCAGGCTCAATCCGAAAGGCCAAAAACCTTTAATTTTCAAAAAGGCCTGAGAACAATTGACCCTGACCGTCTTAACATTCACGAAGAAACATAATAGCTATTTCGCTGATACCATATTATCAATAATTGTATTTTCTCTTATCTTTAATTTTCACTGTCAATCAGTTTAGTGTTGCATATTTCTGGTATTACGCAAAAACCATAGTCACTTATACTTAAACAGCACTACGAATGTAAAATGCTCATTGTACCTGAAGAAGCCTGGTTTGGCTAGCCAAAATACTGAGTACACCATTAAAAAAATCATCTTAAGTTCGATCTCTGCTTTTATATTTTCAAAGAAAAAACAACTGCCAACCTTGGTTTCAAGATGGGATGTACTGCAAACAAAAATAAAAACTTTTCTCATTGGTGTTACCATACGTCATTATTTCAGACTCTCGCAAAGATGGCAGTTGGCGAGGAGGAAGAAGTTCAAGACCCGGAAGGTCACGAGGAAGAGGTCAAGGTAGAGGTCCATCCCCGAATCCACCTTTTTCGCAAGGCAGGGGTCCTGAGAAATCACCGTACGTGGAGGGTCCCGGAAGGACTGGTAGAGGTCAAAGAGGACGGGGATCTGATAACAGACCTGGATGGCGCCGAGGGAGAGGGGGTGAGTTTTCATTGTAGTTTTGTAGTTTTGCAAAAACACGTCGAATTTGATTGGCTTAATAAACGCAAGAAAACTTTACACAGGCTGCATGTGGAAGTATAACATTCGTGTAGGCGAGTGGAGTTATAAAACTTAGAAAACGTGGGCCGCGGGCAGGTCTTTTCTACNGATTATACTGTGAACTGGACCATGAGAAGCAATCAACATGCACTGCGCGTTTACTGTGAGAAAATGGAAAATCTAAACTGACGTGTTGTTCTCTTCAGCAGCTTTATATTCAATCAACCCATGTATTTTCTGTTATCTTTAATTTTCACTGTCAATCAGTTTAGTGTTGCATATTTCTGGTATTACGCAAATACCATAGTCACTTATACTTAAACAGCACTACGAATGTAAAATGCTTATTGTACCTGAAGAAGCCTGGGTTGGCTAGCCAAAATACTGGGTACACCATTAAAAAAAATCATCTTAAGCTCGATCTCTGCTTTTATATTTGCAAAGAAAGAACAACTGCGAGCCTTGGTTTCAAGATGAGATGTACTGCAAACAAAAATAAAAACTTTTCTCATTGGTGTTACCATACGTCATTATTTCAGACTCTCGCAAAGATGGCAGTTGGCGAGGAGGAAGAAGTTCAAGACCCGGAAGGTCACGAGGAAGAGGTCAAGGTAGAGGTCCATCCCCGAATCCACCTTTTTCGCAAGGCAGGGGTCCTGAGAAATCACCGTACGTGGAGGGTCCCGGAAGGACTGGTAGAGGTCAAAGAGGACGGGGATCTGATAACAGACCTGGATGGCGCCGAGGGAGAGGGGGTGAGTTTTCATTGTAGTTTTGTAGTTTTGCAAAAACACGTCGAATTTGATTGGCTTAATAAACGCAAGAAAACTTTACACAGGCTGCATGTGGAAGTATAACATTCGTGTAGGCGAGTGGAGTTATAAAACTTAGAAAACGTGGGCCGCGGGCAGGTCTTTTCTACATTTACCAGAGTGTTTTATGCGAACGTGACGAAGGAATACCCATGGCCCTGACTCCCATGTCCTCAGACTCTGGTTGAATTTTTTGATGATGAATATGAACCGAGATAGGAGAACGCGACACGTTTTTCTTGCCTTTAAAATGTTCTGAAAAACAGCTTTTAAGTCGAGCAATGCTAATCTAGAATCCAACCTGTAACATAGATTTTGACAAAACATGCTTTCCAAACCAACCAGCGCGCGCGAATCCAGACTGTGTTAAGTCAATAATCAAGAACTAATGAACTTTGGTTTCAACACAGCAACTAACAACAGATCAGACCATGGATATATCCTGAAGAACGTCTTGTACGAGCGGAACAAGTTGTATGTTTTGGGTTTAAGAAGCAAAACAACTAAAGATTGTGTGCTGAATTTCATTGCGAGGATTAGTGGCTGTGATGTCAAGCGCGTGTTGATGTTTAAATCTGGAAGGGCCATTGTAACGTTGGACACAGACAAGATCACAAACTCAGGTAACCAATTATGAAACTTGGAGGAAGAATTGCACATTAGAGCACCAAAGTAAAACAAGTTAACAATTAAACTGAATTCCTTTCGGAGTCCCAATTCTTGAACATTTATATATTTATGCAAGAGACGATGATCTACAGTCAAACAGATTACAGGAAAGCCGTACGTTGTATACTGTATGCTGGACGATATTCCACCCAAACGTTGCATCGTGTGCTGCATTAAGGTGATTGTGTATAACAAGTAAATACAAGTGACAATTGGAGATTAAACTCACACGCAGGTGCAACTTATTACAACAACGTACCCTTTTGTGTCTTCAGTAGACCATTGAGTCTTTTTTTTTTGTAATGTCTTTTGCGTTTTGATATGACATTCATTTGATAGTACTTTCTCTACTGGGAGCAACCTCTGACTTGTGTCACATGTGTGACTTCCCGTCAAGGTTTAGCTCTGTTTTCCTCCTTTTATCAGTATGACGTTTTTAGTCGCAGTAATTCTTTCCTTTTTATTATGTCATTTAATTTCTGCAAAATTAATTATACTCATTCATTTTCATTAAGCATATTACCTTCTAACTCGACAAGCCCATGAGGTTTTCAGTCTGATGGGGTAACCTGCTTTTGTAATTCTGCCGTTTTGAAATAAAAGAAAATCCTGATGAAGCGAAGCACCACGTGCGTTTCCTTTCGCCGATCCGCTGCTTACCCGCTAATGACAAAATGCCACACAATGCAACTGCAAATGGCGCTGAACGTGATCTGTTGCTTACTTTTTTCCCCTTCAGATTTTGCCATGATATGCGAGGAGGCTGCAAAGCCAAAAAACCAACTTGAGAAAGTAAACGTACTGATTGAAAGAGCACCAGTCTGCAAGAGCATTTTTGTTCGCGGAATCCCTGAGAATACCCCACAAGAAGAGTTTGAAAACTACTTTGACAAATTTGGTGTGGTGGAGAAATTTATCACCAACGAGGAAGAAGTGAAAGCTCGGAGAGTGAATGAAAAAAGAGCCATTGTGTACTTCAAAACTGATAAAAGTACGTGACTTGAGAATTTTAATAGTAACAGGTGTATGTTCTTAGTGCTTATA